GGCTTACCATGTACATTTTGTCACACAATACAATTCAATTGTTGACTGAGCCCCTCAAATGTACTCAAGTGCTTTAATTCCTTTTGACCTGAACTGAAGCAAGAGAGATTGAGCTTCTCTTTTTGGATATTTTTCTACTTAGGAAAAGAGAAATTTGAACCACAAAATCAGAGCATCAATCATTCATAAAATTCACTTGCCATCAAGTCAGTTCTGACTTCCGGCCACCCCATGTGTGTCAGGTTAGAGCTATGCTCCACAGGGTTTTCAATAGCTGATTTTTCAGAAGTAGACCACCACGCCTTTCTTCCAAGGCCCCTCTGGGTGGACTTGAACTTCCAACCTTTTCTGTTAACAGCTGAGTGTGTTAACCATTCACGCCATCTAAACCAAAAAAAAAAAAAAAAACCAAACTCACTGCTGTCGAGTTGGATCCAACTCATAGTGACCCCTTCTTGGGTTTCCGAGGCAGTGTCACTATGGAAGTATATTGCCCAACCTTCCTTCCGGGGAGTGGCTGGTGGGTTTAAACCTCCAGCCTTCTGGTTAGCAGTCAGATGCTTTAGGCACTATGCCACCAGAGTTCCTCCCCAAATATTTATAGGTGTTATTAATTGAATGCCCTGCCAGCTATACTTGGTCTTCATTTTTACACTACAGTAGGACTCCAAGTATGGGCTGGAGTTTTCATATTATGTGAAAAGTGGCAAGAAAGCTTTAACTGACCGATAACATTTCCTGCCTGCGATCATTATGAGGTAAAGATACCAGACAGGTAGTAAGTTAGGGTTTAAATTAGGCAATCCATCACAACAATGCCATCTTAATATGTCTTACTTTATTCCTAACCACCATGAAGTTATCAACACCTGCAGAAGTATATTTTATGCATGCTTCCCTGTGCAGAGTAACACCAAAAAAGTCTGAGCCCTGAATAACACCTTTAATTGTCTTATCACATTCCTTTCTTCCTCCCTTTCTTTCTTTGGAAATGGCAAAAGGTGTCTGTTCCCAAGAGACCTGAAACTGATGGAGGGAACTCACTTCCATGTCCACACTGGTCCACCTCCTTTCAGTAGTGGCCCAAAGCACACACCATCTTCACTTTCATCCCCTTCACACCCTCTTTTGTCAGTGTCTTCCCTAGTTTCTCCAAAGCATCTTCACCCCCAGCAAGGACCATAGTCACCCAGCACTATCTCAAAATACCAGCGATTCCAATATTGACATATACTCGGAGATCCTTGTATATGAATGAAAATTCACACCGAACAATCTTTTAACATTAGTTCCCGCTCTGTAATGGCAATAGAGAAAATGGAGAAACTAATGAAAGGAGCAGAAGGCTTTTAATTTTCATTTACCCTTCTCTGTACTGTTTATATTTTTTATAGTCACTGTGTATTTTTTTTTAGTATCATTTAAGGAACTAATTCAATTTTTTAAAAATGTAAAGGGTATTTACAAATCAACCTAATAATATGAACAGAGAGAGAAATAAATTTCCAATGATTTGGGTGAAGAGAAGGGCAATGTACCAAATGTGAGTGACCAATATGGCACCGTTGAGGATGAGAAGGACGTAGAGTGGTACATGTGAGGTACAGACAACAAATATGAACCCTTTTGCACATGCAGTACTGTGTTGTCAGTGAAGGCAAACATGGGTATATGGATGGATAGATGACTGGACAGGCTAAACTATTAGATATGTCTATGAAATGGGGAGTGTATCCAAGAACATATATAGATAGGGTTGGCAGACAATGATCCTGTAAGTTTATGTGAATGATCAGAATTCCCAGGTGTATAGTAGAGCTGACAAGGGGCAAGGTT